TCGTGTTGTAGCCCAGAAAAGGGTTACTGAATGAGGAATAACCAAAAAAGAAGTCGGAAATGAAATGGTAATCTTTATAACATCAACAAAATGCAATACTCGCCAGAGGCGTGAAGTAGGTAAACCACTGCTATTGGTGGACTACGTAGACATCATATTACCCCCACTTACAATAGTATCCAACGTATTTATGAGTTATTGGGACATATCCATTAGTGTTCATAGGTACAGTATATAACAAATAACAATGAAGCAATGTGCGCAAGAGACGGAGAGAGATAGGGAAAAGGAAGAGACATAAGAGGGGAGGTCAGTGCGGGTGAGTAGAGGAGTATACCAGTGAGAGTGGGTGACTGAAAGAGAGGAATTGATGGAGGAGAAAAGGGAAAGGTATTACGGAAAAGTTATAAATCGTTGGAAAAGAGAGAGAGAGAGAGAGAGACAGACAGACAGACAGACAGAGACAGAGACAGACAGACAGACAGAGAGAGACAGAGACAGACAGACAGACAGAGACAGAGAGAGAGAGAGAGAGAAACAAAATGAAACAGAAGGGAGAGTAACGGGAGTCTCTTATATAGATTGCCAATTTGAAAGCACCATAGTTTACTAGAAGGAAAACGCGTCCTGGGTAAGACGATAAACAGCGTCCAGCAGCAAGGCCTCTGATCAGGAGGTTTTGAGGAGCGTGGACCCACCTCTTAATTGCTGGTGTTCCCATGTCCACCCTGACCCAGGGTGGTAGCACCTTTCAGGGTCACAGCAATGTTTAATCCCCAAACTGGGGTCAAAACTCTATGAAAGTGTAAAAATAGGTTTTAATACGAGCAATATATTTTTGTAAAAAGATTATTACCAGCAATATTTATTTGAAGAAAAAATTTTTTACCAGCAATAGATTATTACCAGCAATACAATTTTGAAGGAAGAAATATTACTAGCAATACATTTTTTTTAAGATTACCAACAATAAACATAAGAGGCGAGAATGGGTGACTGAAAAAGAGGAAGTGAAAAAGAAGTGTGATGGAGTAAAGAGGGTAAAGTAGAAAAAGGATTTAAGTAAAATGATTAATCGTTGGGGTGGGGAGAGAGAGAGAGAGAAAGAAAGAAAGTGAGAGATACTGAGAGAGAAAGAAACAACGTGTGAGGCAAGGGAGAGTAACGGGAGTGTCTTATATAGATTGCCAATGTAAAATAACCATAGTTTACAAGAGGGAAAGCCAGATGAACGTAGATGAAAGTGAATAAAAAAAGAGCGCTGAGGTAGAACACAAAGAAAAAGATGATGGAATTAGAGAAAAATCATGAAAATGAAAAGACGTCCGGTGATTGGTTGGAAAACATTTAATAAAAATAGAGATAGGACCCCCCCCCACACACACCAAAAAAAAAAACACGTTGCCAAGAGGCTTAAAATACAGAGTGTATAATGAATTTATCATACTAAATTTGACGTACGGTTGCAAAACTTAAATTAAAAAAAATGGACACAGCTCACTTTTGAGAAAAATGCTAGGGTTAAGTCTTATGAGATAGAAAGCGGTCAACATGTATCAAAGGACAGATCATGCTATAGATCTATTAAGCGACAGACTGTAGATAGACACGACATATAGGAAAAGGAAAGAAGAAAAGTTTCCTTGAATGGCGTCCAAACAAATGACTAACGCAGTAAAATACAAGATACGATGGAGAGATGAGATAGTAAGTGGTAAGCCATGGTAGAAAATAAAACAATCAGTGTTATCATGAAAAGTGAGCACACAATGTTTGCTCCGACTGATATATATATATATATATATATATATATATATATATATATATATATATATATATATATATATATATATACGGAAGAGGTTATAGTAGTTCCAACGAAAGAAAAGTGTGTATATTAAAAAGTAGAGAGATACCGCAAACGTTTTTGGTTGTAATGTGGATGTCTTTTTTTTAAAAAAATATTTTGCCTTATTTTCCATAATTTTACTACACGTGTTTCTGGTCTTGCGACCGTCTTCTACATATTAAAAATAATTAATTTTTTTTCTCCTTTATTTTTTCGATGTTAAATATTCTCAATATGAGTCATTGCGTTAGTAATCCGAATGTCTTGCTTGAACTCGTGTAGTAAAATTATGGAAAATAAAGCATAATATTTAAAAAAAATATCCACATTACAACCAAAAACGTTCGCGGTATCTCTCTTCTTTTTAATATATATCAACCTGTGGTATGGTTTTCAGGCTCTTTCCAAAGGTGTCGCACACAGGTTCGTCTCCCTCCAGACCGAAATATCCTTACTGACGAAGCAAGCGTGGTGAGATTCGAACCCGGGTCTCATGCTAAGAAAGCAAACGTTCTAACCAATCGGCCACGCGCCCATTGCAAGCGAATTTAAGTTGGGGGAACACTTTCGCTGTGCTAGCACGAAATCAACGTGATCGAGGGTTTGAGTGTGCGGGCTTTGTCCAAACTGTTGATCTCGCTAGATAACACGCTCTCTCTCAGAAACTGTAACTAAGGTCTACTCAGCATAGTCGCAGTATAAACCACATGTGGGATCTGTGGGTGTTGAACAAACATAAATGTGCCTGAGCGAGCGTCTGCAATAGGGATTGGCTAGCCGCTTTACTAGATGGGTATCCTCGAATACGAGTAGCCATCTATTATATATATATATATATATATATATAATATATATATATATATATATATATATATATATATATATATCAGGAGAGATTATTGTTGTTCTAACGAGAGAAAAGTGTATAATTTAAATATAGAAAAACTGCAAAACGATTATTATGCGGATTTTTTTAATTATATTTATTCTATATATTTTGCTACACGTGTTTTGTGTCTTGTGACTTTCCCCAGGCGAAGAATGGTTTTTTCCACATATTATTTAAAGGAATGACTTTTTCTGCCTATGTTAAATGTTTTAACTATTATCTTTTGTCTAGAGTAGTAGTCATCTGAATCCATCTTGGACTTGCTATTTTTTCGGCCAATCCAATATAGATTCAGATTACTACTACACACCAAAAACAATGTCCTCTCTTTAATATATATATATATATATATATATATATATATATATATATATATATATATATATATATATATATAGTTTATGAAAAACTAGGTAATCTGTATGGGTAAACCGAAGGAGGATATAATCCAGAGAGCTCAATGTAAATCCAGAGCAAATAATTTAAATAAAAAACAGACCACTTTAAGTTTCCATGTAATACATTATTTCACCACAGCCCTTTTAAAAAGACTTGCGGATCATCAGACTTTACTTCCAAAAACAAAAATGAAAAGAAAATTTTACACATTTTTTGACGGGCCGTATTAAACATATGTAAATTAACGAAGTGAGGAAGTGAGGGGGATAAGACATGAGTGAGTTACCAGATATTGACACATTTAAACGGTTAACTTAACGGAAATGTTATATATATATATATATATATATATATATATATATATATATATATATATATATATATATATATATATATACATAAGTGTTTTATATATATATATATATATATATATATATAAGTGTTATATATAATATGAATGATAGAGGAAAGGATGGGGAGAAGGATAGTGGATAGATCAAGGCAACAGGAGATGTTTATTGACATTACATTGGAATAATTGGAGATTAAAACTATCAGGGAAACAGGAAAAGGGAAGGGAGTTCCTCAGGCGAGTGGTGCGAGACATGAAGCTTTTGGAGTAGAAGAGGTGGCTATATTCAACAGTTTCAACAGTAAAAGGATGAGAGCGGGATGCCAGCCTCGTAGGACGCTTGAATTTGCGAAGTCTTGGAACTAGGAATTACCATTACCGGCAGGTCTGTGAGAGAGTGACTGCAGATCAGATCCATTTGCATTGCATATCCGTCTTTGGATCTTATCAAGAACCCCGAGGTAAACAGAAGGTGCTCCAGGCCCTATATAGCAGCAATACTCCATGCAAGGGCGAATGGTTGATTTGTAGATTTGAAGGATCGATTCCGGGGAGAAAAATTTCCTGATTAGAAGCTGTATCCTATACGGAACCGTCATTTAGCTCGACGTGCCTTTACCGATTTGGCCACAGAGGCGCGTTCGGTTAGCAAGGTCGAATTTACTGTATTTAAACTTCAATCTTTCATGAATCTCTCACGTACATTCATATCGAAGGACGATATAAATGATGTTCAATACTGTTTATTATAAAACAGAACATTTACTTAAATATTTGTATCTATAAAAAGAATGTATAAACATAAAATATCTAAATATATATATATATATATATATATATATATATATATATTTATGTCTAGAGAGAGAGAGGGAAAGAGAGAGAGAGTGAGAGAGGGAGAGAGAGAGAGTAATTTACTTAAACAGAAAATTCTCGAGAGTGTCACTATTGTATCTTATCAAAATATAAATCCCCATCATTGAAATATCTCCATTCCTGAAAGAATTACTCCTATCGCAAGCCAACATAAATAACTATAAAAATGTTTAAGAAAAATAGACATAAAAAGGTTAAAATGATAACCTGTTATTTAATATGTATATAATGTAAATTTTTACAATATTACAACAATAAATAAATTGAACATCATCATTGACTCACATTTGTTTATTAGACATTAAATTACGTCAATTAGGATCTTCCATAATTCATCGAGACTTTTCAGTAAGTGTGGTCCATATTTACGTGCGACCCTTAAATTTAAAAATTTTGAATAACTAAAAACATTTTACTCTTGTTTTTAAAATCTTCTTGCAAAATACGATCCTCAAATTTGCCGTGAAAAAGTCCTTCAAAGGACGAAAGGCGACGGTTAAGATGAGTTTTTCTTTTGTCTTCATACGCACACACACACACACATGTATATATATGTATGAATATATATTGTTGTAATAGAATGAAAAATACTATATATATCTTTCCTAATCGAATTAAAAATATTGCATATCTTTCTTATATATATATAAGAAAGAAAATATATATATATATATATATATATATATATATATATAGGCGACAGGACGTGTAGCCACACTGATACAGGCAAACAGAATGTCTGCGGAGGACAATATATATATAAATAATAAATAGCACATTCTTAAAAAACATCTTTCGGTCTACAATTATTTCGTCTTCAAGTTTTAACTTTAAAGGAAAAAAAAAACAGCCTGATGATGAAGACATGGATCTTCGAAAGTACTTGCTTAACTTAAAAAATATACACTAGAAACATCTGACAACAGTTTTATAAATGAGGATTATTATGTTTCTACTAGCGAAGTGATTTCGCTATTAATCGCATTAATATTGCTCATTGATTCTATGTATTTATTATTTATTGATATATATATATATATATATATATATATATATATATATATATAACACACACACATATATATGTGTGTGTCTATATGTGTGTGTGTGTCTAAGGAGTTAATCCAGTTATTTTAAATCAAACATTTCTCAGTAAGAACAATGCCTGCTAAATATTTTTGAGTTACAATTCCTGTTTATTTACAAACAGTGAAATTAGCGTCTGTCAGTTAACAGGTAGGTTTTTTTCAAAAAAGACTTTCGATGATCTAAGACGGGAAAACGTTAACATGTAATAATAATAATAATAATAATAATCTCTCTCTCTCTCTTTATATATATATATATATATATATATATATATATATATTTTATCACACACACACACACACATATATATATATATGTAAACAGATTGTAAAAAATATATTTGGTTATTTGCTAATTTTTTCGAAATGGATCAAGAAAACCTATATATATAAATATATATATATATATATATATATATATATATATATACACAGATTGTAAAAATATATTTGGTACACAGATTAAAGACCCGAAAAAATATATTTAAGACAGTGTAATTAGAGCCGGATATAAGAATAGACCCGGATATAAGAGAAACCCGGATATAAGAGAGATTTTTTGGTCCCAAATTAGAGCCTGTGTTAATGTATATAAAATAGACCAAACCCGGATATAAGAGAAACCTGGATATAAGAGAGATTTTCTGGTCCCAAATTAGAGCCTGTGTTAATGTATATAAAATAGACCAAACCCGGATATAAGAGAAACCTGGATATAAGAGAGATTTTCTCTGGTCCCAAATTAGAGCCTGTGTTAATGTATATAAAATAGACCAAACCCTGGATATAGAGAAACCCGGATATAAGAGACTTCTTCTCCGGTCCCGACAACTCTTTATATCCGGGTTACACTTGTATTTGCTAATTTTTTCGAAATGGATCAAGAAAATCTATATATATATATATATATACACACACACACACACATATATATATATATATATATATATATATATATATATATATATATATATATATATATATATATATATATTAGAGGAGCGAATAATAGAAATTATTATAGAATAGTTTCAAGTATATAGCAGAAACCTGAGTATGGGCGTAGCGTAGAATAATCGAAACCTCATTATAAATCTATAAAAAGCAAAGGAAGTGCTTAGGAAGAATCAATATTGTATGAGTAAAAACAGCCCGTCTTAGA